AGGCCTTTGAAAATCCGAGTACTGTAAGTGCCCATTAATTTCACATTTATTTACGTTAATTTACAAATAGTAAAATCATTTTAAATAATGTTAGTTTATTTAAACATTTCTTGATTGAAAATTATATTTGGTTAGGCCAAATAATAAATGTTTATTCATTATCATTTTCATTAAACAATGTTTGTCATATCTAAATGTCAATCACGCTTTTTATTTATTTTACAACATGATATCTTTCATTGATAAACTACATAGTCAGAATAAATATCAATTAGTTAGAATTTACAAATTAGCACATTAATTTCTTTACAACATTAAAAGAACTACTCTCGCAATTCAGACGTAAGAAGTTTTAATTGTTGAGAGACGAATAAAAATTCAAAAGATGATAATAGCTCTTATAACTTATATGAGTGGGGTCGCTATCGACGGTAATATGATATGCAGTTTCTGTTGAATTTCTGATCTCATCTCTCACACTAAAAGCTCTCATTGATTTCTGGCAAAGAAGAAGATACATTAGTTCTCAAATAGAAGAGATGTATGTGCAGTCGTTTTCCTCTATTAATTTAAAATTAGAGATAACTGAATCAAATTTCTGATTATATAAAATAAAATTATTTTACTTTCGGGATAATAAATTACGTCGGTTTTTATTTTTGAAATTTTTTCTTGTATTTTCATTTGAATTTTTTTTTTTTTTTTTTTGCTTTTAAGAACAGAAAAATGATTATGTAAATGTAACCAAACGCCTTTTAATAAGTGCAAATGATCTGTATTCCATCAAACGGCTACAAAGCATATGCCATATGCCCTAGTAGGTTCCATATGCAGAAGCCGTTTTTTCAGGTCACTACATGCCAAACTAAAATGTGCATTTTTTCTATAATTAATAAATTTAGAGATGCACACAAGAAATAAACATGATTTTGATGCAACTCAAAAGCATATCTGGAGTCAGAATTGAATATTGATATATGTCTATATAGGCAAAGAGTGGCGATAGTGATAGCAAATGGTATGTGGAATTGGTTTCCTAAATGATATATTAATGTGTAAGTGGGCAATCGAGATGAGTATGCTTATATTCAAAAACCATGAAAAATCTACAAAATCACTCTGTAATTGTAAACTTACTTTACATTGGTTTAGTATGTCAAGTATTGTTTCATAGCAAAAAAAGACGGTTTCAAAGAAGAGCACGAAATAAAGTCTGGATAGCAATAACGGATTCATAAAAGAATCAGCTATCGAGGGCACTCTGTCGACCTTATTGAGAAAATTTCTGACTTGTAAAACATGAGTGGTGGTTGTTCAAAATTTCAAGATGAAGAACAAGGTCGCTAGAGTCTAGTGATGTGCTTTCGAGATTGTGCTCTATTTGAGATATTGAAGCTCGAAACAAAGGATCAGCTCTCGTGAACATGCGATTTTGGAATACAATTGACAATCTTCGTGTGCTCATACTGCTTATCTTCCCAGTTGCACTCTCTATCAGTTTAGCTTGGTGCACTTACTGATCTTGGACTTTTCTTGACCTGTCTTGATTCGACGAGCTGCCCATGCTCTCCTTCTCTTTTTTTCCCCCTTGAAATGTTTTTTGTCGAAATTGCAGCTGAGCCGCCCGAGGTCGATGAATTTGACCCTTGAATCTGCCCTTGGTGATCTTCCTTTTTCATATGGGCCTTACCTGCTCTTATACCCAAGAGAAGAACACAAGAAGTGCCAAAAGTTGTGTACGGCGCACACTTTAGTATCAAAAGTTTTTTTTGAATCACTTAAGTGTCAAATCGGAGAAAAAATGATTGCTTAAGTGCCAAATCGAAGAAAAAGCGATCACTTAAGTGCTAATTCCGGTCAAATTGATTACGTGGCATTTATAATTAAATTTTTTAATATGACTTGACATATTTTTTAAAAAAATTCAGTCCACGTGGATATCCAAAATGACGTCGCATAATCCAACTAGCACTGAAGTGATCGTTTTTTAACAATAACTAGAACTGAAATGATCACTTTAAATAAAATTTGGCACTCAAACGATTATTATTTACAACTTTTAGACGACGTCGTTTATGAGTTATATGCTAACTGGGCACGCCGGCGAGCCATGTAAGACCAAGAAATTATTAAAATATTGCCACGTCAGATTTTCGGCAATCCAGATTGGATTTGGCAAAGTGATCGTTTTTTTTTTAAAGTGGTACTTAAGTGATCTGAAATAAACTTTTGGCACTAAAGTGAGCACCGTACACAACTTTTGGTACTTCTAGTGTCCTTCTTCTCTTATACCCAGAATGGAAATACTTAGTCTAGCTCAGGGTATGTTCTCCAGATTCAGAATTTCCTTGTTCATTTTTTTATTTACTTGATGAAAAACTCACATTACTGAGCATATAGGAGGATATGGATGGCTACATTTTATAACCAATTGAAATGTTACGGCATTTCATGTTTTCTTTTAAGGCTTCTTTGTCAGATTATTTCTCCCACTATGTGCAAGGGAAAAATGCCAGTCTCCGAGAGTGATTGCCTAACTACAAAATCAATTTTGACCAATATGATCTCGAGAGATCAATTTGATACCTGATGCATAAGGAAGGTGGCCCAATTCGGACACAAGCAGACACAACACTTCAGTACTACAACTGCGCGCTCCATTACATGCAACTGTTAGGAGGTTCAACTAAGGGTAAAAGCCACCAAAAACCCTAAAATATTCTAACCGTAATATATTTATCTCAATTTTTTTTTGTAACACCAAAAACCCCAAACTTGTACCTATACGACACATTTACCCCAAACTTATAGAATGTGATACATTTACCCCAAATTTTTTTCTTGTGACATCAAAAACTCCAAACTTGTATCCATGAAACACATTTGCCCTAATAATTTGGTGTCCCAAAACAAATTGAAATTTTTCGTGTCACAAAAAAAAATTTGGGGTAAATATGTCACACATGCATAAGTTTAAGATTTTTTGTATCACAAAAAAAATTTAGGGTAAATGTGTCATAGTGGGCAAAGTTTGGGGTTTTTTGTGGCTTTTTCCCTTGAACTAATAGTCTAGTCCAAACTTTAAAAAATCATTTTTATTTCTGAGTCTATACTATAGTACTTCACTAGCTACAAAGTATTAATTTCGGTTATTTGTTCAAAAAATAAAGGAAACTACTGAAACTGCACTAAATCTTTTGCAAATTATTTTAGTAATTTGTTAGATAAGAAAATATTTGTGGGATGAATTTGTTAGATTTACGACTCAGTAAATGATACATTTTTCTAATATTCATATAATAGTTGACAAACCATAAGCCATTGGTAAGAAAGGTAAATAAAAGGTGTAAACAATACTTGTCAGAGATAAGAGAAGTTGGTAATTCAGAAAGAATTCTACTATAAAATGGTAACTAAACAAGAGTTTGTAACATAATTGTAGAAAAGTTGGTAATCATTCTAATTGAGGTTGGTAATTTCCAAAAATGTCAATAAGTAAGACAAATGAAAGTGGCACCTCAATAGAAAAGTTGGTAAGTTAAAAATAATATAAATATTGGAAATCAATTCAAATGAGACTTAGTGACCAAACAAAATTCAAATGAGAGTTGATGACCCAAAATTAGGGGAAAAGTACCAAAAAAGTCCTAAACATATTGCATTTATACCAATTCAGTCATAAACCTTTCAATTGAACCAATTTAGTCATAAACATTTTCACATTAGTACCAATTCAGTCCATCCGGCCAATTTAGGCCGGAAATCACTGACGTGGATGCTAACAGTCCTACATGGCACCGCCGACGCTCACGTGGACAAATTTTATAATTTTTTAATAATTTTTTCAGATTTTTTCAATATTTTTTTTCTTTTCCCATAACTGGGTTGGCTGGCAAGGTCACCGGCCGACCACCCCTGCCACATGCTGGTCTAGGTGAGGGCCACCGTGCCCTCGCCGGCCACGGGCAAGGGCCGCTGCACCCTCGTCGGCCACAAACGAGGGCATCAGACCCTCACCTAGATCCAAGCGAGGGCAGCGAAGCCCTCGCTCGTGGCTGGCTAGGGCCACGATGCCCTTGCCTGGTTTAGGCGAGGGCCTAGACCAGCATGTAGCTAGCGATGGTCAGCCGGTAACTAAAGCTTGAATAATTAAAAGTGACTTAAAAAATAATTTTTTACATCCTATGATTCTGTTAATTTATTTTCTACAGATTAGATTCCTTCCCTAAGCCAGCTAAGCACCTATCTGTACCTGCTAAGAGGAAGGTATGTCACTTTGATATCTTTGAGAACTGAGCATCTGGAATATTTTCTTTTTTAAATGTGTGCAAAGGAGTAACATCACACATTGCTCTAGCGTAGAGATATCTTCAAATGCTACTTTTTATGGATGAATAGTACTCCTTTATACTCATTTCGTAAGCCATTGATCGCCCTAGCGATGGACAATTTTTTAGATCTTTGTGATCATTTTAAACTTTTGGTAATGGTTTTGCGAGTCTATGGTAGTATTTTGCCTTGCCCCACCTGCTTATGCCCAATTATTCTCATATTACTTTACTGATGCGCTACTGGTGTTGCATCACCCTATTCATGAACTCAATTAGGCAAACAAAAGCACCAGTGTGCTTGTATAAATCTGTCAAGAGTTTCAGCCTGATTGGCTACCATAATTGCACTGGATGACAGGGAAGCAAGTGCACGCTTGAATCCCCAAAGCTGGTGTTCAAGCCTGTGGCAGTCTCTCTGCAAGTCTCTGTAAATTTCCAGTCCCATTTTCTTAGCAGCATTAAAGTGCCAACCATGGTCCTGGGTTTGAAGAATCTCAAACAACCGTCGAGAGTTGTCTGCCTCCCCACATGGAGCTAAAAGATGGAGAGTCTAACAACCCTATAAACTGATGTCTGAAAATTTTACAGAACAATGGCCAACCTCTCTTTTGCATTTATATAATGCAACATCAAATTGTAAAATGTCCTCTTTTTAACTAAGTACAATTCTTAGTTAAACAATCGCATCATGACCTTCAAGAAAAGTCACAAGTTTATCATTAACTCTTAGAACTAAACATTTAGCTTATCTTAACGCAAGAGGACAAGAAATACCTGGAATACAGTTTTCAGAAGAGGCTTGCTGGCAGCTTTTTCACGGCCAATATCTTGACACCACCTACGAAAAAGATGTGTAAAAAGGGCACTAGGAAAATACTAAAACAACAACCTCGTAGATAAAATTGCAGCAACAGAAACGGTATCTCACTAGAGCAAAGCAAAAGCCTCACATGTTTATGAGCACTATATCGGAGACAGCCAAAGCGAAAAGAGCACTCTGCTTTTCAAAAGCAGTATTGTCCTGAATAAAAATGACACTGGTTAAGAAGCTGTGAGGATGCTAATTGCTGCTTACTCAAACCAAGTGTGAATCAGGTGAGTTTCAATGAGCATCAGCCACACAATAAATCAATCTTCTGGGTTGGTAAGATGAGCAAAGACATACAAAAGTGGAAAAGCAAGTTAAAGATAATACAGCAGCTACCCGATGCACAAATTATCTTTCAACATGTACAAAAAATAGAATTGGCAATTACTTATGGATAAAAATAAGCAGTTAAACATAGACAAAATAAGCTATTATATATCCATGTAAAATCATCTAGTAAATATACCTCTCCTTCTCCAGCTCCCTCCAAGTCCATAACCAGGGTACACGGTTCCATGCTGGCAGCTGTTGCCATCCATATACCTTTGGTGGTTTGGGACCTGGAAAAATACCAAACTGGTTTTGCACTTTCCGAATCCAAATACTTCATAAGAGTGAGCTAAACAGTTGGTTTGTAGACATGCCTCCCTTTAAAATGATCCATCTCGCTAAAGTTGGTGCCAAATAGATGATTTAACAGCGTACTCTTCCATGTTTGATATTATACACAACAATAGAATAAGTTTGAATCTCTTATGAAGGCAAAAGAAAAGATTCATGAACATGAAACAAAATAAAAGAATTAAACTGAATTTGAGCAACTTGAAATCATTTCACAGCCCTTACAAGAACCTTACAAAAAGTTTTGATCTAATCCATTTCTAGCAAGAGAAGCAAAATCCAAAGCTAAGTTATTGGGAGTAAATACACACCACTAATATGAGGACCCATGGTGGAGACTACGGCGTATGAATGGCCACAGTCCCTCAATTTGACCTCCTTGATGAAATTTTCCAGTCCGTCGACATTAAATGTGCCATCTCGATCAATTAGCTGAGCAGAAGAACATTCACCAGAATTACCTGTTCAGATTAGCAAGTCAAAAAGAGAGTGATTTGATAAGCCTGTACACTGTGTCTAGAGTAGACAAGACTACTATAAAAACTCGTAATCAAGAATGAAAACCTAGGATCCTATCGAAATGACGAGAAGTACCAAGAGGTTGATTTCATTATTTCAACAATTTTATTGATAACATATTTCTCCTAATGATGAAGGAAGTGAATTAATCCCTGTCTCTGTCAACAATAATCTAGAAATAATCTTTATAGTGCTTGGGACATGATTATATTGATAGCCTGTTACACTAACACCGTGATTATTGTCATCAGCTACCCTTTGCAACACAAATAAAAGGGTACTAGCGAAGAAACTTCTTAATCTTCAGAGTCACTCTTATAGCTTCAAATGACTAAAGCTCTCTTCCATGGGTTTTCGAGAGCCGAAATTATCATTGAGGAAAATAAAGCCTTAAAACTTTTCAGCCCTTGCAATTGCCTTCCCAGAGACCGAGCTAACACAGCAACAAACACGATCCGAAATTGGGAGGAAACAGTTATGCTGTGTTAGAATATTAAATAATAAACATTCAACTAACAGCTTTTAGAACAGATTTATGACAGTTGGGGGTGATCCCACAAAATCTCACATTATATCAGACCTAGAGGTCCTGAGTTCCCATTTGCCTTTCTAATTATTTATGTACACGCTTATTATTAGGCAAAATGACTAGACTAAACTACGCATGAGGAGTGTTAGAATATTAAATAATAAATTACGTCTTCATCTAACTGATTGCATAAAAACCAGCAGATGCATTAATTCGACATTACGAGCGAAGCACCTGAAGACCAAGCAACAATTACGAGGATACCTAATTATACGCAAACCAACAATCACGAGTCAATTGAAGCGATAAAAAGATGTTGCAACCAGAGACTTCAATCATGATAAAGAATATGGATCACAACATACTACAAACTCAACTGTACCCACCTCAATCGATTCTAAAATATTGTTTTTTGTCAAGAACGCCATTACAAACAATGAAACAAGTACGAAATAAGTATATGGATCACTTGAATCATTCATAGGTGCATAGCCTAACAAAAGGATGTGATGCAGGCCAGATTGATAATGCTGCCCGCATCGAAGACGAGCTCACTCGACCAAGGAGATCAGCCCGCATCCGAGCTCGACAAGTCGCTCGACCAGTCTTGAAGATATTGAAGGGACACAATTCGAAGACCAAGAGTTTCATCCACGAGTCCATGCCACAATAAAGTCCTTGTCTTTCCCTATACATTGGAAGCCTAAAAGATACTTTGGGATGATCAAGAAGACGTTGGACATTTATCTAGTTTATAGTTTCTAAGTTCTTTAATGTTTTATGTTTTCTAGGGTCTTTAATGCTCTTTAGTCTCTTCATTTGCTTAAGTCTTTTCATTTTTTTTTCTTTGGCTATAAAAGACCATCTACTTTATGTATTCGACAGACGAATTGGATTAATGAAGATTTTGCATAAAGCAATTATCGTGAACCTTGAAGAGTTCATACTCCCGAAAACCTAGAAGAGTTTTCACTCCGTCCTTGAAGAGTCGGAGGTTTTCAAAATCTGCATCCTTGAAGAGTTGCAGTCATCGATCTAGAAGAATCGGTGCCCTATCCACTTCCTTGGAGGCCTGGAAGAGCAACCAACGAAGTTCTATCTTTTCCTCTGTTCTGTCCATTTACATCCGTCCACTTCCACCCCGATTTCGTCCTTCCTATAGTGCTTATTTGAGAAAACTCAAAACAGAGAAATTGTCAATCCAGAAGTCTTTGTTCATTTGGCTTTGGAATCAGGTCATTCCGATCTGTATCGACGAAGTTACATCCATTTTCCCGAGCTTGCGCAGGACTGTAATTACTGTTCGTCCTGTTCCACGTGTGCAAGTCACTCTCCCGATCCTAACGTTCGAGTAGCCTACACCAGGCTACATCATTTTGAGCAACCAACGAAGTTCTATCTTTTCCTCTGTTCTGTCCATTTACATCCGTCCACTTCCACCCCGATTTCGTCCTTCCTATAGTGCTTATTTGAGAAAACTCAAAACAGAGAAATTGTCAATCCAGAAGTCTTTGTTCATTTGGCTTTGGAATCAGGTCATTCCGATCTGTATTGACGAAGTTACATCCATTTTCCCGAGCTTGCGCAGGACTGTAATTACTGTTCATCCTGTTCCACGTGTGCAAGTCACTCTCCCGATCCTAACGTTCGAGTAGCCTACACCAGGCTACATCATTTGGTATCAGAGCTTTGGAGGAGAGAACCATGCCGCCAAGACAAGCTAGACGTCGTGGAGGCAGAACCATCCCACTGAATGAAGTGCATATGCTCGCTGACAATTTGCAGCAACATATGCAACAACAAATTGATGAATTGACGCGGGAAGTTGAGCGTCTAAGGGCGGAAAGAAACAATTCACCACCTCGTTCCAGGACCGAAGATTCCAATGGTGACTCTTCATCTTCGGAGAATGTTCGACCATTTCGCAATCGGAGGAATGTTCGACATCACGAGCAAAACATTCGTGAACCAGAGTGGGAAAAAGAAGTTAAAAAGGATATCCCGGAATTCTCAGGTAATGATTCTCCTGAAGAAATTGTTGACTGGCTAACACTTGTTAATGAAGTGTTTGAGCATCAAAATGTTCCGGAGGATCGTCGAGTCGGGATCATCACTATGCGATTCAGAGGTAAAGCCATCGCTTGGTGGAGGCGTGAGAAGCAAACTCGCCAATCCGTTGGCAAAGCGCCAATTACCTCGTGGAGGAAGATGGAAGACAAGATCCGAAAGTATTTCCTACCTAAGGGATACAAGAGAGAGCTCTATCAACGGTACCAAAATCTGAGACAAGGTACGCGAACGGTGGACCAATACACCAACGAATTCAATGAGTTGGTGATTCGCAACAACATTCAAGATCCGGAGGAGATGCTTGTAAGCAAGTACTTGAATGGCCTTCAACTTCATATTCAAGATGCCCTGGAAGTCCTTGACATTTGGGACTTAGGAGATGCACACCAACGAGCACTCAAGGTGGAGCGTTCTCGCTCAAGGAGGCAACAATCCTCTATCATGACCAATCAACCCGCTAAGAGTACCCCCGGCACCACCAAAGTTGCTGAGGCTACGACGCAAACCGCTAGTAAGTTTCCTAATCAGTCTGACATTTTGAAGCAACCAACTACGTCCGATATTCGTTGCTATACTTGTGGTGAGTTGGGTCATCGTGCTAGCAATTGCCAAAAGAACAAGAATCGACAAGCCCAAAGCCTTCTTAGTGGATAACGATTCTGATGAGCATGTGGAGGATCCGCTCGAAGAAGAGGTGAATGATGTTGAAGAGTCCGCAGGTGACGAGCAAATAGTGCATGCTGATTCTGGTGAATTTCTGATGGTGAGAAAAATCTTTCTAGTTCCTCGTGATGAGACCGGAGATGGGTGGCTGCGCACCAATATTTTTCATTCCGCTTGCACGATTAAGGGGAAGGTATGTCAATTGATTATTGACTCTGGATGCTGTGAGAATATAATTTCTGAAAGGGCAGCGAACAAACTAAAGTTGGAGTTAAAGGCGCACCCCACACCTTACAAGATGTCGTGGCTATCGAAAGGCACCGAGATAACCGTTTCCAAACGCTGCCTTGTTAATCTATCCATTGGTTCTGTTTATTTCGACAAGATATGGTGCGATGTTCTACCAATGGATGCTAGTCATGTTATTCTTGGGCGACCATGGCAATTCGATAGGCGGACTACTCATGATGGTTATCGAAATACGTATTCTTTTGAATTTGGAGGGAAGAGGATTATATTAGCACCTAGTAAGGAGCCTTTGAAAACTCCTGTTGTCGAAAAGTCTTCATCTCCTACATTGCTTTTGATGAAGGATATGAAAGGTGCTTTAAAAGGGGTTCGTATTGTATATGTTTTACTTCACAAAGCAGGTGAAGTTGCTTCTTCCATACCTCTTGAAGTTCGGCCACTTTTGGAAGAATTCAAGGTTGTTTTCCTGATGGACTTTGTTCTTGGACTACCTCGCACTCTCAGAGGTATGGATTCCATCTTTGTTGTTGTAGATCGATTCTCAAAGATGGCACACTTTATTCCTTGCCGCAAAACTATGGATGCTTCGCGTATTGCTGAATTATTCTTTAAGGAAGTCTATAAATTGCATGGCATTCCGAAGACTATTACTTCTGATCGGGACACAAAGTTTCTCAGTCATTTTTGGCGACAATTGTGGAAGAATGTCGGTACTAAACTGCAATATAGTACTGTATTTCATCCCCAAACTGATGGGCAAACTGAAGTCGTCAATCGAACCTTGGGAAATCTATTGAGGACAATGATTGATGAAAATCCTCGCTCTTGGGAGACACGATTGTCACATGGCGAATTTGCATATAATTGTGCTGTAAACCGTACGACTGGGTATAGTCCTTTCATGATCGTGTATGGACAACAGCCGAACACTGCTCTTGATCTTGGACCCATTCCTTTTGCTAAAAAGTCGAGTGGCAATGTTGAAGATATTGTTTCTCAGATGAGAGCAATTCATGAAGATGTGCGCCAAAGGTTAGAAAGCAAGACAGAGTCCTATAAAAAGGACGTCGATAAGCGGCGGCGTGAAGTTATCTTCGAACCAGGAGATTTTGTTTGGGCTTACTTGCCACTAGAGCGTCATCCTGTTGGAAGCTATAACAAGCTTAGTGATCGAAAACTTGGTCCTCTTGAAGTTCTTGAGCGCATCAATCCCAATGCATATCGCTTAAGGCTTCCTTCTCATATGAAAACACATGATGTTTTCAACGTTCGGCATTTAACACCTTATGCTGGTGATTCCTCTGATGATGACATGAATTCGGGGACGAATTCTTTTAAAGAAGGGGAGGATGATGCAGGCCAGATTGATAATGCTACCCGCATCGAAGACGAGCTCACTCGACCAAGGAGATCAGCCTGCATCCGAGCTCGACAAGTCGCTCGACCAGTCTTGAAGATATCGAAGGGACGCAATTCGAAGACCAAGAGTCTCATCCGCGAGTCCATGCCACAATAAAGTCCTTGTCTTTCCCTATACATTGGAAGCCTAAAAGATACTTTGGGATGATCAAGAAGACGTTGGGCATTTATCTAGTTTATAGTTTCTAAGTTCTTTAATGTTTTATGTTTTCTAGGGTCTTTAATGCTCTTTAGTCTCTTCATTTGCTTGAGTCTTTTCATTTGTTTTTCTTTGGCTATAAAAGACCATCTACTTTATGTATTCGACAGACGAATTGGATTAATGAAGATTTTGCATAAAGCAATTATCGTGAACCTTGGAGAGTTCATACCCCCGAAAACCTTGAAGAGTTCTCACTCCGTCCTTGAAGAGTTGGAGGTTTTCAAAATCTGCATCCTTGAAGAGTTACAGTCATCGATCTAGAAGAATCGGTGCCCTATCCACTTCCTTGGAGGCCTGGAAGAGCAACCAACGAAGTTCTATCTTTTCCTCTGTTCTGTCCATTTACATCCGTCCACTTCCACCCCGATTTCGTCCTTCCTATAGTGCTTATTTGAGAAAACTCAAAACAGAGAAATTGTCAATCCAGAAGTCTTTGTTCATTTGGCTTGGAATCAGGTCATTCCGATCTGTATCGACGAAGTTACATCCATTTTCCCGAGCTTGCGCAGGACTGTAATTACTGTTCATCCTGTTCCACGTGTGCAAGTCACTCTCCCGATCCTAACGTTCGAGCAGCCTACACCAGGCTGCATCAGGATGGCTTAGTTCCCAAATGCAATGTGGAGTTCTGTAGTATCGAAAAAAATGAGAAGACGACGTCATCAAAATCTATAAGACGTCCGATGTTCCTCAGTCCACAAGCCCATGTCAGCAACTACGCTACCTGAAAATCAGTATTCGATGACTAGTAATCCGGTGCTTGAGATCAAGTGACAAAATCGTCACCCGAGCCTTTGAAATGGTGCAATCTTCTCATGCCGGTTC